TATGTTTGTCTTTATTTAGGTTTTTTTTTTTAACTACCTTTTAAGCCACATGGAAAATACACATTTATGTTAGAAAATCCTTCCTGCAACCAGAAGCAAAATGTAAACAAAAATGAACCCTCCTGCTTTAGTCAAGCATTTTAATTATTAGAATAGTTCAAAACATATCATTTTAAATTCAACAGTCTTACCCAAAACTCATCATCATAGCTGTAGTTGATTAACATCATCCATCTATTCACCTGTATAATCTGGTGACGTCGTGGCATCATTGAATAGATGTGCCTTTTTTTCCTTCTGATTCCAGAAGAGAAATGCTTAAATCAGCGTGTAATTATTGAGACTGTGTGTGTGTGCGCAGGTATCCTCCAGCCTCAGTGTGAGCGCGTGGCCATCGAGGCCCTGCAGCTTTGCACTCTGCTCCTCCCCCCTGCTTCCCGCAGGAAGTTGCAGCTCCTCATGAGGATGATGTCTCGCATCAGTCAGAACGTGGACATGCCTCGCCTGCACCCTGCCATCGGCACCCGGACACTGGTGAAAAGCCAACACCAGCTATATTCTCTTTTTTTTTTAATAAATGTCTAAGTGCTTCTCAAAACATTGAGTTAATATGATGTACTGCTTTTTACCCACATATCCATGTTTTCTTGTTAGTCTCAGTGTTTGTAACGTTTGTTTTTGATGACTTGTTTGTGTTTTTCAGATGGTTCACACGTTTTCAGGCTGCATCCTCAGCAGTGCCGTGGAGTGCGACTTGGATGAGCTGCTGGCTACCAGACTGGTCTCGTTCCTAATGGATCATCAACAAAACATCCTCTCAGTCCCAGAATACCTGCTGAGTGCCATCAGCGACCACATACAGTACCTGCGCACAGTACAGGTACATCTTTAAGCTCCTGGTCCGAATACACACTTCATGATGCGTTAAACCTAGTAATGCAGTATAAATATATATGTTTCACCGTCCCTATCCCAGGTCCCTGTCGACTGTGGTTTAAATAATGATGGTGGTGATCCAGTTTGTGTTCCAGTACCGATGTACGCGTTCTGCAAGCAAATAAGTGGTGCTGAGTTTGAACAGCAAAAAGTGGAGTCCTCTCAGAAAGCCATGGAGGAGCTGTTGGAGATGCTGCTGACAGACCAAAACCTTAATGAGAAGGACAGACGCAAGAAACTAAAGCAGGTGAAACAAACAGTAACACTTGTTGACTAAAATCAACAGAAACACACTTTGTCCTCGAGAAAATAAAGTCAAATAAAAGCCTATTTTATTCAGCTGAAGTTTAAAGTCAAAGAAAACATCTTTATATGTAAAAAACTTGGCATAAAACACATTTTTTACTCATTTTGTCACATAATTGGCATGTTTTCTTTTGAACTTGGCTTAACAAAAGTGAAACAGGAAGTGACATCAAAGGGGAACTCTTTAAGAAAAGAAACTCTGCATTTTGTTTATTGAATCAATATTATTTGAACTCTTCATTTCTCTCTGATAGTGACTCAAAATATTTTAAAGAAACATCAAAATGTTCTCTACAGTGCGTGTTGTCAGCCATTTTAATAACACTCTGTTCACATGCAGACATTCCCCTTTGACATCACTTCCTGTTGTTTCCCATGCAAATATCTCAACAACTGTTCTTGTCAGTGGCGTGAAATTTGTTTTGTAATATGTTATTAGTGCTGTCCTTCCAAAAATGCATTCAAATTAATTACAAAAAATTGATGTTACAGGTTCTTTAAGAACGYGTTGTGAAAGTTTTGATTCCTGTTGGTTTTGTTTCAGTTTCAGAAGCAGTACCCAGACATCTACAGCCGCAGGTTCCCCTCAGGCAGGGAAAATAAGGCTGAGGGCAAGCCAAAGATCAAACCTCCACTCCTCAACATCAGGAAGACCAAAGCTTTCAGCATCAGGAGTTAAAGCAGCTCCGAGGCTGCAGCCACGTCGCTGCTCTGATGCAAGAGTTTTAACCAAGGATCCACGTGCAGCCATGCAACTGTTACATTATATGCTCCGTTATTTCTGTCGCAGTCTAAAACCAGAGGTAATGCACAGTCGAGGATTTTACAGTACGTGTAAAGGCAGGGTAAAACGGAAAGTTCCTGAGGAAGTTGAACTGTTGTTTTTATTTATTTTTTTCTTTTTTATGTTTTTCTATTTTATTGCTTAAAGATCGATTTGGGAGTAAAAGTTTGCAGAATCACTTGTCAGTATAGGAAGAATTAATGGGTTATTTCTAATTTATCTTAAAACGACATAGGGAGTAACGTGTTTTTTGTTTTTTAAAGTGTTTCATCTAAGTTGTTCATTTCCTTTTGTGCTTGTTTTTGTCTTTAGAACCGTTTTTATTCCTTGTTGCAGTTTTTGCTATAGAGAGTCAGAACTCAGACGTTTTTTTTTTTTCATGATTAACAGTTAATTTAAAATGTTTCCTGTTTGTRTCTCAGTCCTGCTTAGTCAGCAGGAGGTGTGTTTGCACTGGGTCTATGTTGTGAAAAGCCARCAGTTATTATAATGGGTGCTTTTATATATTTTTTAATGTAAAGTATTTCTTTAGGAGGCATTTCATCAGACATTTATGTTTTGACCTACAACAGTTTGTAAAATATTTCCTAAGCAATGGTGTAGTAGCTACTTGCTGAAGTTATTGGGCAGTACAAGCTGTGTGCTTTTATAAAAAAAAAAAACTGAATGTCTTGTTAAATATTTTTAACACTATATGCTTCTAGGTACTGATGTTCTGTTCTGATCCTACATCTTAAGTTCTAGTTTAAATACAACTAACTTGATACTTCCAGATCCTGGACTGTAAGTATCAGATTGTTGTAACCAGATGTTTGTTTTTACCTCACCTTAAATGAAGTGTGTATATACAGTATATGTGTGTGTGTGTGTGTTTTCCCATATGTGTTCAATGTCATTGTTTTTATCTAATATTTTTCCTTATGAGAGTAAAATGTGCACCTAAAGCTTATATCATTGTTTACTATGCAAATCCTGGGAAATAAACTTGTTCTGCTGTGAGTGAACTCTGTCTGAAATGATTTTAGGTTTTCCGTGTACAGTAGATTAAAATCTACATCTACAGTCAATGTCATTTATTTATACAGCACATTAAAAACAACAAAAGCTGACCAAAGTGCTTTACAGTTCAAAGACTTGTATCATTAAAACAAAACAAAAAAAATACAGAAACACTTTTAAAGTAGACATATGCTTTTAAATCCTTTTTTACATTGAAATCATTCACCTGGGGGTCTTTATAAAGTGGAACTACAATGCTTTGGTCTGAATTCCTTATTTTAACTTTAGCAGCTCTTWCATCATTTTTCTGCTGTCTCAAAGCACATGGTTTTGTTACTGTTCCTTTAAGATGCTTGAAGCCCCGCCCCCCTCCTGCTTCCAGACCGGTCCACTCCGGTTTTAGAAAGGAGGTTATGTTTTTTAGTGGTGAAGAAATGTTTTATTTACAATTTAATTAAAATATGTCAACGACAGAAGACTTGTTCATCCCACCTTACATGTTGGAACCAGAGTCTGACCCAGAACCAGAGGAGGATGAAGACGAGGAAATTGTAATTTGTGAGTCCAGGCTTTATTTGGCAATTTATCACAGAAAATTTGATGTCTCAGAAAATAGAAAAAACTGAATATAAAGACATATTTGCAGCACCAGGAGAGACTAAATTTAACTTTTCTGAACTTTTATGGAAGTCGAGAGCGTACATTTTCTACTGATACTTTTTTTCAGTTTTTTCACAAAATGATTAACTTTTTCTCACGATAAGTTAATTACCCGATGGTTTTCTCAAGATAAGGTGTTACGGTTTTCCTCTTGTGCATCATTCGGTGAGCATGGAGATGATCTGGTCACCGATGAAGTCCACTATATCRTAACAGAGGCTGAAATGAAGTAGACGGCTGACCCGACTGCAGCTCAACAGGCGTTTACACTGAAGTGATCCTGCTGATGTAATAAACTTTATCGGTGACCAGCTGAGGGACCATGGAATGATGCACAAGAGGAAAACCATAATTCATTACCTCAAGAAAACGCTCATCTTTAACATGGAATAAAAAAAGATCCACGGCTTCCGTACCTAGAGGCAAGTCCACAACAAAATGTATTCAACAGCTAAAAAAGTGGATTTTGCATGATACAGTGAGTGAAATAAGTATTGAACACGTCACCATTTTTCTCAGTAAATATATTACTAGAGGTGCTAATG